TATGTTGCAACTAATTTTAGCTTATGTTGCAACATTTTGTAAATTTGAAATCAATTGCTGTACCATCTTTAGTTTAGTAGCAATTGTTACATTGTCATTAAAAAAAGATTCTAATGTTGCAAAATATATGATTGTATCTATCTTAGAAATAAATTTTTGAAAAAAATTACAATTTGGTCCCTTTTCTCAGCACTCATCCCATATGCTTATAGTTCTTATTTATAATGCAATGCTTAGTAAAGATACGTTGTTTGCTCATTATTTATTTCTATTTTAAATGTGGTAGCAAATCTTGTAACAGTACTTGCAAAATAAATGATCTACGACAAAAGACATTTTTATAATTAATCTTAATCCATTTTAAATTATTTGTGCGGATGGGATAGCATTGGGGGATTATTGACCTTCAGACCAAAAGAGGCTGAACACATTGTTGAACATGTATTCCACAATTTCAACACAGATACTGTAATATTACAAATAAATTTTGCATAGCAGATCACCCGTTATTTATGAACCTATGTTTATTTATTTGATAAGCAGTTTTACAGGTATACATAAACTAAAAAATTAATGATGATAAAGCTGGACAAGCTTTTTCGGGCCTTGATACAATAACGCGTTAACTTAAGTGAACATTCTTTTCTGATATCCCATCCACTCATTATTTTCGTGCTGGAACTTATTAATTAGATAAAACACACATGACTGATCGATCATAGAAAATCAATTAATTTTATTTCGAAATTTGGAGGACAAAACGTAAGAACATTTAGTCATATGAAATTTATTGTTTGAAATAGGCGCAGTTAATTATTTTTGACACCTGCGTACCCATCAAAAAATGTCACGAAATGGCTGACATTAAGGATTGGCAATATGCATGATCATGCATATGGGCCTGCAAAGTCTTAATGCGGGCTGACGTGATATTTTTTGATGGGTACGCAGGGGAAGTCATTATTTTTAATATATTGTAATACATGTACATTAAAAATATTTACAAAAATAGCATAAGATAACAAGCAAAAATAATTACAAGTTTTTATGATGTTTTTATGCTAATGATCATTCTATTCTAATTCCCTAATTTTGTAATCACATGAATCGAGACAAATCGTGAGAAATCATGTGAAGGTCTTTTCAGAAAAAAAATTCTCTAATATATTCATTGGTATCTTTGTTTTTGTATTCACTTTTGCATTCACTCATTCTTTGCTAATTTGCTTTATGCTGCAGAGATGCTCAAGAGAAACAGTATAGATATTCTTGACTTTATTATAGATAAAAGGATTAGCCACAGCGGATTTGTATGCTCTTCCAGCAAATGGTCCAAAATAGTTTGTAAATGCTTTTCTATCTACAATTCCAGACTGTTTCAGAATTTCATTACAATTTGCAGTTGTAAAGAAGATGAAGAAATCTTTTTCAAAATGCAGATTTTTCACACTCTTTTTGGTAATTTTCTTGACTGACTGCTTTTTTTTGCAGTTTGAATTGGTGAATTTGTTTGGACTCTCAGTATTTGGCTGATCTAATGAAAGGAAGGAGTCTCTATATGATGAAGCTAAGGCATTAATGATATAATGTTTGAATTGCTAGACATCAATGGTAGAATTATAGCAATCAACATTCCATACGTTTGCAATGAGATTTTTAGATTTGTGTCTATATGGTGTTTTGCAACTTCAAGTTATAGATTATAGTTTTTAAATTGAATATCACCATTCAAACATGCTCCCGCGTGAACCTCTGAGATTTTTGTTAGCTCATCTTCTTTAATCACAGCTAACTTTATACAATGAAATGACACAACAAAATTTTCAAAACTTTGCCATGACTTGGCTTGCAATGTTGTTACTGAATTCAAGAGTACTCTTTGTTCTCTATAATCATTGAACTTCCAATCTCGAAGAATTGGATCTCCTAACTATTAAAATATCTCTACAAATATCCAGAACCAGATGTATGATGCAGTGAGATATTTCTTTAGACTATTTTCTATTTGCTCGAATCGAATCAACTCATCTCCAATAAATTCATCTGGTTTTATTAGTTTTGAAAATAAGTTGATATTTATTTAAGAAACGTTAAATCAATATTGCTTGTGTAATTAGCTTGGCATCTTCCACAGATCTAAAAATAGCATTATAGTATTTTTCTAATGTAGATCATTCATCAAAGTATTAACGTTGCATTCTTCAATTTTATGACTGGCAAGTAATCATTCAAAGCTTCTAAAGCCCTTTAATACTCTTTACAGTTTTTCACAAGAGTATTAGTAACTTCATCATTTTTTAAAGACTGGAAACAAGCTATCTTCTTGTTAATAGTTTAAGGTTATAAAGAAGCGACCAGTAGGTAAATTCGTTTTTATGTTAAATATCTCAATGTACTATCAATCAGTCCAGTTATAGTCGATATACAAATGGGTATTATGAAAGTGCTACAAAATGCAAAATCTGCAACAGATGTTAGAGTCTTATAAAACTGAGAATTTACCTTTAACTATCATTTTTATTTTCTATAAGTTATTGCATGTCATTAACAACCAAAATGACTATAAAGTCTTTCAAGTTTTGATTATGGTGTTTGGCAACTAATAATACAACTTCCAATAAATCTGGTGGTTTGTATGCCTTGATAATTTCATTAAACCTTATTTTCTCTCTAAAAAGTTGAAATAGCATATGAGTACCAATGGCAATATAAGGGTGGGATTCATTTGATTATAAGGTAAAGCTATTCTCATAGCTGATAAGGAATACACAAGCTTCTTTGATTCTAATTAACAGCTTTCCATCTTCTTGAACTGACAAACATGTGATTGCTATCTGGTAGAATTCATTAGCATTTTGAGATTTTCTGATACCAGCTTCAGAAAAAAAGAGATATAACAGAAGATTCAATTTGTTAAAATACTTTAAAGTAAAATTTTCATAATGATTTTTAAACCCTCTTTGTAAAATTCGCTTTAAAGATAGGTCAGGCTAATATGTCCAATTCGCATCAGAAATGTGAAGCAAAGATACTAATTTTATATATAGTAAGCATAGCATATAAATCATATATTCAATCAGTCTCAATATAAAAATAGTAAGTTTTCAGTGGAAATTACTTAATACATATCTTTAGGAAAGGCATCAGTAATTTTTTTCCTAACTTTTAAAAAAATTATGTCTTTAGGGATTTTTTCAGGATAAGTGAAATAAGAAGTAAAGAAAAAAATTAAGTATTTAATATTACATAAAAAAGATGAAGAAAATGGCTATTAAAAAGTTATATTAACTAAATATATTATGACTCATTTACCGGTGGTAATAGGTTGATCTAATAATGCAAATGAGTTTTGGAATAGAGTTTGACAATAAGAAACAGAAAAGAATAAAAACAATAAGTATATGGTATTATATAATTATATAATATATAGGCAAATCATAAGAACGAGTAATAATATTATGAAAATAATGCCTTGAAAAAACGTCTGTTGAATAATACATGAAGCGTACAAGCATTACACTATTCTATGATAAAACTTATTTGATAATTAAAATTATTAATTAACTCAATATGTGACACTCTTGGTCCTATATGAATATTATAATCTTTAAGTTAATTTAAGAAAGTTATAATCAAAAATCCCTTCATCACAAAGGTTTTGAATTTCAATTTCATTCAGTTCCAAGTTCTTTTCTCGTAAATAAATGATAAGTTGGTCTATATCATATTCTTCAACATAGGTAGCAGAAATACTAATAGGTGAAGTACACATAAACATTTTAAAAAATATATCAGATAAAAATACCAGTTGACGTTGTTCAGTTCAAAAAAATAAACTGCATTATTTTAATGACCATTTAAAGATCCTAACTTATTCCTAATTGATACAATTTAATTTATCAATATTATATAATAATTATATATAAATTAAATATAAAATATTTATTGTAATTGAAATTTTTGTAATCCTTTTCTAATGTAAAGGCTACATAATCCATTGATTCAATTTTATCATTGTCATCACAAGAAATATCATTTTCTGGCTTTTCAACCTGTATTTATTATTCATTGAAATATTGTAAATATTCTAATAAAGATTCGACATATTCATCAATACTATTTTGTAAGAATAATAAGCAATGCAAGTATTTTGATTTATTATTACTATAGCATAATATATATGGCTGTAGACAATGTTATCATAGAACATTTTTGGGATATAACCTGGGACATTGGAACTTAATGTGAGACATTTTGGGATATAGTGTGGGATAGTCTCAAAATATTTGGAACATCAAAAATGTATATCACTGGCTGTAGGCTAGAATTTTAATTAGATCTATATTAAAGATGCCAGCTGAAACTCTATAATTTCGTCATATCCCTTACTATGTTTTTAATATAGTTTTGGCTAATTTTGGGTTTTGGGATTTTGTCATACCCCTCACTATATTTTAATATAGTTTCAGCTGTTTATTAATTGCCTTTTTTGAGTTTCGTCCCTCATCTTTAATCTATATTAATTGATGATAAATTAAAACAGTTAGATGCATCATAATAATAAATTGGATCTGGTTTATATAAAGTACTAAACCCAAAGGAAGGTGACATAATCATGCTTCCGGCAATTTTAGTATAACTAATGGAATAATAATGTCCTTAGCTTTTTTTTTGCCTTTTTTCTTTGAAGATGAAGTTATGACAGTTTGTAATGAAAATGCAATTAGTAAGAAATGATTAAATATTGTATATAAATTTCTAAAAAGCATTGCAAAAGAAAACAAGCTATCTTTTTTATCAAATCTGTAATGTCCTATATAGTAGTGATGGCAAATTATAAGGTTTTTTGATTTGAAATTTATAATAACAATAAGGTCATTTGAGGTTATTTGAAATCATTTCAAAATCATTTCAAAATCTTTTACCAACCCTACTATACAGAATATTCATAAACTATCCATATAGATGTATGAGTAAAATTTTTCTTAAATCTATTAAATCTATTATCATTCAGATATAATTAATTAAAATAGCATTTATATTTAATAATTTGCTATGCATCCATATGTTTTTATGTACTTTTACATAGAAAACTGTGAAATATTTTCATAGTTAAATCTGAAAATTTTGGAAGTTCAATTTTAAGAGTCTTTAGAATTAGGTGATTATTTAATTTCCAGTAAAAAATATCAGAAAAAAACATTAATAGTATTTTATTATAACTTTTGCAGCTAAATTTAAAAAATAATGTCTAAATACAGAAATAAAATTTTAAGTAAGCATCAAAATTTTCAGATCAAAAATACAGCATATATACAGTATCTAAAACAAGAGAAATCGTATTATTAAGAAGGTTCTTGAGTATAAGATATTTGGCATTTTTACATAGAGATCCAAATTTTGATTTGATGATTATAGAGATTTTCTACCAAATATTACAAGAAATATCTAAAAAAAGATCAATATACAATGGTTTAAATTTATTACTAATAGTTTTCATTCTTTGAAAATGAACTTATACATAGCTAAAAAAAGCTAATATTAAAGAAAGATCAATGTGTGACTGTTCAGTAAAATATGTAAAAGATTATTATGAAAAAAGACAAAATAGTATCATTAATATGTAATTAATTATGATAAGATAGATAGTGTAAAATTACTATTTTGATATAATTTATCCAGTTTAATTAGCAATAATAGGAATGATATATCCTTTCTAAATATATTATAATATAATAATAACATTAATAACTTTAAGATATGCATTTAAGGAATGAAGATTATTTTTCTATAAATCTATAAGGATTACATTCTGCATTAAACTGATATTACATTTTTCCTTTAATCTAATATTATAACTATATACAATCAGTTATTTCAATCTTGTATCATCATTAATTAAGTAAAATTTTTATTGCTGATTATGTAAAAGACCATAAAGTATCATAAACTTATTTTTTACATTTATTTTAATTAATTAGAATTACACTTTGTGTTATAATTGAATTCATTAAAATTGTTGCTAAATGTGTAGTGATAGATGTAATAATCATATTGATATCTATTATATAAATACCATGTAATTGTCAATATTTAATATCATTATATTCTCTATATACTCAGCAAATACTGAATCAATAGTTTTGATATATTCTTTAGATATAGTATTTTTATGTTGTATAATTATATGAGATATTGTATTTATATCTAAATTAGTATGAGTATTTATAGAGTACTATTGAATCTAGATATATTGCTAAATCACTCTTTGTATTATTTACAAATTTATTATGAATTCTGCAAAAAAAATAGCAAATAAATAAAAGTTGCCCTTTTACCTGTGCCTGTAACTCTTTATTTTTTAAGGATGAGTTGGAAAAAAATATAACTTATCAAAAAAAGATTTTAATCTAGCATTCTTCCCTTTATGATTGTTTTAAACTTATCAAATAAATATAATAGTGATTTCTTTTTTCTATTTTTATGCTTATATAAAATATTTATTATTATTGCTATTGTTCGAAAAAAGAATAATATTTCAGCTTTATTAGTCTTATCAGTCCTTTCATTCTCCTATTCAGTCTTATTAGTCTTATTAGTCTTATTGGTCTTCTTGTATTCCTATTTAGCCTCATATTCACAATTTATACTAAGTTGAGTATACCATACTATTGAAATTCAGATAAAATATTTATCATAATTCTATTATAGCAGTTTATACAAATAATATTGCTTATTTGAATATAACTTAGCAGAATATTGTTAGCTTTACCTTTGCTAAAAATATTTATAGTTACCTTTCTCTATTAGGTTAACTGTTTTCAATAGAAAGTAATAATATACAATCCAATAATAGGCATATTTCTTTTCTAATGAAAGTACTTTGAGATTTTTGATTATTTTTTAATTATTTATACTGTGAATTCTAATGTTTTTTTGAAGTTAAAAATAAATTCTTTTTATTTTACTAATGGTAATACCATAAACTGAAAAGATACTCTAAACTATATAAATAATATATTTAGCAATTGATTAGGATCGGCTAATCACATAAAAGTCTTTTTATAACAGGTGAATACAGAAGTTAACATATACCTAAAATAGGAGAAGATCTATAAAAAACCAGTTTTAACTTACATGATGGAATGAAGATGAGAACTTTTATAATAATTTTATACATTTTATATTTAAGTGATCAAATTTGAATATGCTTTACCCTTAAAGTCCTTAAAGTTAAGAAATTAAATGTGTTTTATAAAATTAAACTAGGGAAACAGAAACTATTCAAAGTCTGAAGCTTTTTCACAGCTTATATAAATCAAATCATACTATGTTAATTTACTAATATATATTTATTTTATTTTATTTTTTAATTATAAAAAAATTATAATAATATATGTATAATACTAAAATAAAAATGTAATACTAAAAAAATGTAATATTTCAATAGAAAAAGCTTAGTATATTTTATCTTTTTATTGAAAAACAAAAAAAAAAATCTAGCAATTTGAGAAATCATAAATATTATTCACTTTTTTTCAAATATAATTTTTTTTTTATAATCTATTACAAGTTTTGACATGTTGAAGCCTTTCAAATTTAAAAATAATATTTTTTAGAATACAGACCTTGAAAATTATCATAAATGAAAGATTAATAATATACTTCTTTTTATCTAGATCCATTATAAATTATTTAATGTCAATCTTTGACTCTTATATATAATGATAACTAAGGTAAGACAAATAAGAA